TTGAATTTATGGAGCATGTTCCTCCTGGGGCGCGGAGGAGAAGAGAGAGATGTCAAACACAAAAGAAACTAGAAACGAAGGAATTCAAGTGTAAATCCATCAAATTAATCAAATATACAGTTTACCAATTCTGTCTAACTGAGATACTGGAGATTTACAACACAAAAACAATTACTATCTCTTCTCTATAAGAACACCAGGAAGCAACATATAAAATCCATCTAATTCGCTGCTAGGTAAAACTGTATATTACTCATTTATAGTTGTACAGTTCCAACATTTTAATTAAAATAAAATTCCAGCTGTCCCAATAAACTGCTATCGCAATCCACCTGAGCTCACCTGCGGCCGAACGGTAAAATCTCTGAACACTGGTAGTTCCGATTTAGTTTCCATTCCAGGCGAACGGGCTGACTGCATGGGTGTTTTCGTGGTTTTCCCCATGTGTAACGTGTATACCAGCCAGTTTCAAGTTATTCACGAAGACATTCCTTCCTTTAGGTAGATAGCCGTAGTGTGCTTTGCCATAGTCAATTAAACCGAACCAAAAACCGCAATTCATCTGGATAGTATTACTTCTTCCTAATACGTGTTTTCTATCCTGCAAGTGAGTAAACGCTTTTTTTTTCCTTTATCACAGTTTATTTCAACAATATTTATAAATTTTAATGACCACTGAATATGCCTTATTTGCCTAAACATACAACCCATTCAAATAAAATAAGCAATAAAATTTATTTGCACACGGTGCAGCAGATTCCAAAACTGAAGCCATAAAGGAACCACAGCATTATCTGGAATAATTTTCTTCGCTTTTAGTTTTACTTGTGTGCAAATGAATTGAGTTGTCGACATGCAAGAAACAACTGCAATAAAATTACCAGTGTTTCGTATCACTGTTTCTAATAATCAAAAATTCTTTCATCTGCTCATAAAGTGCTGCAATGTAGATGTCGCTAAGATTGAGTTTTTACCGAAAGTTATTGTACATCTTAACATTACATCTTACAGATACGTAACTGTGTTTTGAGGATAACAAGGAAATAAAACAGTTAAAAAAAAAAAAAGAGACTTCTGGTGTGAAAGTAAATGTGAAAAACTCCAAAAGGGCACTTTTGTTTTGTAAGATTGCATTCTGAGCAAGAATTCTTTTGCAAATTTGATGTACTTTTAGCAGTGAAAGAAAAAAAATTCTTGGCATGTTTATTTATGTCTAAAAAGTTAATTGTATGCCAGAAAGTGATTCATGGTTTTCTAAAGAGTTTTATTTTTAATTTTGTTGAAATCCTGCCCCCTACAACTAGAAGTTGGTCAAGTGGTGAACAAGAAGCTTTCAATGTTAAGAATAAAAAAATCTGTTGTGTATACATGATTTCTGTTGATAAACTGTCCGATAAAAAATATGTTGTGTATACATGATTGATACCGCATGATTTCCTTGTACGGAATATTAAATTATACGCATTTTTTCCTGCATGTCATTTAAACTTATACCATAAGCAATGAATTGACCATATGAATTGAATTAAACCTACTTCGTCGATAACGCATAAACCACAGTACTATAAATGCGCTTTTTAAAATTCACTATATTATATTTATTTACCATAGCGATACTCTGGCGCTAGGTTCACGTAACAGCATTACATCTCATTCATTTTATAACTCAGAATGCACCAAAATTACATCATCTGAAGAATTATCTAATCGTTGCCACAGAATGCTATGTAATAGAATAAATGTCATTTATCACTATAATAGCTGCAACAGTAATTCGAAAGCATCTGGTCTCAGTTATTGTTGTTGCGAGTTGTTAGTTCAGCGTGGACTGAGATATCTCCGAGTTAGCTTTCGCTTTAAGTGCGCTTCACATTGCATTGTGTTTAATGTTATTAGTAGTTTGAAGTGCAACTACTGATTGTACTCTGTGATACTGTCAGCACCTGTACGAGTATTTCTGTGAAAAATTCCAGGACTTTAAAGTGCTTCATTTGATAAAAATAAATTTTATTAACCTATCATCGGACCTGTGTGCATTCAGTCTATTACGAACGTGTGCGCACGCAAAAGTATATTTAAAATCTCAATCTTCAGAACGATTACTCCTCTTATGTATTGGAGTTTTGCTTATGTGAAACATAAAGCGGGATGCCAGACAGATAAATAAGTGTCAAATGCATTTGCTTGTCATAACCTTTATAACGGAATAATTCTTTTTGACTTACCTTGTACATCACATAGACTGTGAGGTTTCTCACTGAGAAAAGAACGTTAAACTGCTGCAGCACAATTTACAGAAATGATTTTTGTTACCAGATTAGTAAATATTTATCACAAAATGAAATAGTAGATGAATGAGTTCTGAGTGTTACGTTAGATCAATTGGTAGAAATTTAAAATATTTCAGTAACCAGATCAGTCTTTCAGATTTCTTTGTTGAAAACATTTAAGCTTATTTATGGAATCAGTTTTTCGAAATGAAAATACTAAGTGAAGACCGAGATAAGCTCGAAGGCTTGCAAGAATATAAAGTGAGAACTGGTATTTAACACTTTTGCGGCCAGCAGAAAATGCAGTATGAATATTACTCTTCCGCAACAGCACATTTTGAAGGCTGCTGGCATCAGTATTTCAGTTCGAATTCTTCCAAACTGGACTTCATAGATGTGGTTTGTATACCCGCAGATCCATGATTTATGTGTTTTTAAATGCGAGCCATTAAGCTGCCAGCAGGAGGTAAGCACAAGAACATATCAAGGCAGCTGGTATCGAACTGAACGGTGGCTTAAGTGGATTAAGTGTAAGTTTGGTAGTTTTAAAGTCCGAGAACTTGAATGATATGGGGTTTTCAACTAAGTTTTGGTTCAAGAATAATACTAAGCTATTTGTCTTGCTTAGCACACAGCACGGCTGTATTCATGCTCATATTCTATTAAAGTTTATATTTCCTGGCGAATAGCACATTTTCAGACTTGTCAACCTTAATTATGATCTTCCGCTTCTTCAGCCAGGACAGTGAAACACAAAGAATCTATCATGAAGACAGGAATTTATGATTTCTAATCCGTGAAATCCAGAACGATTAGTTTGTAGATAAGCCCCACCCGACATACGTTGTCAAAGGTTAATGTGAAAATGAAAATTCATCAAAGAAAGAATTAAGCAAGGTAGCCAATTAAATTTGACTTTAAAACAGCAAACTAGTAGACTGCAAGTTTAGCGAGAGTATAAGAAAACCTTAACAAACCCTCTTGGATTCACTTTCAGATTTTTTTTTTTTTTTTTTTTTAATTCAATGATACCGTAACTTGAATATTTGCGCCTTTTAAAACGCTTTTGCAATTGGAAGTCTACGACCAACTTTTGCGAAAATAAAGGCCGGGTGATGACTTATGTTTGCATGATGCGTATACATAAAGTATAAGTAAAATTAAGGTACCGTAATTTCCGGAAGAAAGGCCGCATCAGCGTAAACGCCGCACTCGAGAAAAATGGCGGGAAAAAAATTAAAATTACACAGAAACGCCGCATCAGCGTAAGCGCCGCAATAGATTAAATTGCGCGTGACATCGTCGTGGGCCGTATAGATGCAAAAACTCAACCTAAGTCCTGATATATGACATACCAGTTAAGAAAAATGCATGAAATGAAACCATAACTCAAAAATAAATTAAAGGTAAGAAATGTATAGCTTCTGTGCCGTTTAGAGACATTTTCAAAAATTTTCCGCTCCCTTCTTACTTAAAAACTATTCAACAAGTACTTGTACCCAAACTGATGGGATCTGTATTTGGCGGAATGCCAAGAAAAATCCATTCATGCTGAAGGGAAAATACGTCAGAGTTCGTTATTGCGAGGCAGGTGGAGTCGTGTCCGCCTTTGAAAAAAATTGCAGAAAAGGCAGGGGTGGGGAAAGGATGGGTCCTGGAAGATTCATCGAATCACAGAGGAGAGAGACTATTCAAACTGATGAGAATGTTGATTTGAAAGGGGGAAGAATGTTATTGTTCTGAGATCTCGTTTAGGGTGAATAAGGCATGTAGGTCCGTTCAACTTTTGAACCATAGGCACTCCAAAATTTTCAAATCATTGGCATTGGCATAGGTCCGTTCAAGGGAAAGAATGTAAACAAAAATAACGTTCGCAAAAAGCAACTGAGTGGTCTTTTGTGTGGGAACAGCACCAGTCTATGCACAATGACAAGGCCATCCAAACTATGTACAATGAACATCATAGGAAATATTTTATTTTCAGTGCACCTAAACGCCGCATGGGTAGAAACGCCGCACCCGCTGAAAATTTAAGTTTTAAACACATAAACGCCGCGGCGTTTCTTCCGGAAATTACGGTATTTCCTCTCTCCTTACCTCATGCCTTCGTGGTGTCAGTTGAAAATACATCTGGCTAGCAATCGAAAATTCTAGAATTCGAATTCAGGGGAAGGCGATGCTTATTCTTCACAATTATAGAAAGATTCATAAGATGTTGATAAAAATGACAAAGAAATTTGTTTTCCTAATACAAAATTCAGTCATTTCTGTAGTAAAAATTTTATGAATAATAAGATGCAAAAGGAAAAATATGTTGGTTCATAGCTGACATAAGGTTACTAATTTGAGATTTCACTAAAAATGAAGACGTTGTATTTTTTAGGATCTCTGATATTAGTGACAGACATTACCTTCTGACTCTAACATTATTGTCGCAGCATAAATTTAAGAGATGGGAAGAAATGTAGATATTTCCTTTCGAATTCTGAAATCACAACCACTTGCAAATCTCCAGAGTTTAAAATATTTGAATCTTTGTAATTTCGAGTGAAATTCAAATTGGCTTCTCTTTTTCTATTTATATTAAATAATATTCGTTTTCTTACTGCGAAAAGCAGCTGTCTAAAAATCATATTGGAACTGAACTGAGAGAAAAATAAGGGAAACAAGTGTTAAAATGTATGAAAAACCTTTTATTTTTTAACAAATGAAATTATTCACAGCAGTAGATCTGCTTAAATTTACATATTCACCTAAACCAAAACCCACACCCATTAAAATAAGAAAAGAATAATACTAATATTCTATTCGCACTTTATTTGAAATCTGAATTGCTTAGACGGCTTTGCTACCAGACTTGGCACTTATTTCTTCTATTCATTCTTGTATTTAAAGCACAGCGAAAATCTTGAACAAATTCTGGTAAGTTGGACATTGATCCTATAACTCTAAGAAAGAAAAAAAAAAATCATCTGTTTATCATATGTACGTACAATTTAGTTTATGAAAGAATTCTTATCATGATTTATTGTTAATTGATTAATACATTTCTGGCCATTAAAATTAATACACCACGAAGGTGGCAAGTAACAAACGTCAAATTTGCATCAAAGGTACTGCATGCAGGATATACAAATGACTAACATTCCAGCACATGCGCACAAAACAGGTATGGGTAACAGCATTTATACTGTGTATAGATTGAGAGTTTCTAATTTGGAAACAGCATAAAGGTTTAAAAGGTTAAAAGTACCATACCTTTAAGCTTTCTTTTTTGGTGCAACAAATTTAATGGCCTGTATTACATAAAGCAGTCGTTTCCAAACATTTAGCTGCGGCACCCCGGGAAGTCGCGCCTCCTCACGTGGGGCGCTACGAAATGTTGTAAAAGCTTCATAATTAATTAATCAGGACATTTGGTCTAACTAAACCAAAAAGAAAGTGAGAAGCTAAAAATATCTAGATTTTTTTGTGTCTGTGGTTTCTGTTTACTTGACCATGTATAAAAGTAAAGTCGCCGGTGCAGAACATTCTTGAGGTTTGGATGTTTTTTGGAGGAGTTCGGCTGGTGACTTGGAGAGTGTAGGACGTGTTTTTTTGAGTGCTCCGATTCTACCTCGTGCTAGCCTGCGCCATTTTCGCCGCCATCTTGGATGGTTTTGTGCTTTTGGCTTCTACCCATCTTTTTTGTGATATCATCTTGGATTACACGATTATTTCTGATCGATGTTTATTTCTCGGAACTAGTGTAGTGCTCCGCTTGTGTTTTTTGAAAATATTTTCGAAGATTTCTTGTGCTGTGAAAGTGTGATTTCGTCCCACATGGTGGGCAGTGACTTCCCGCCGTTACCGGATAAGGAAAAAATGGATGCGACAACTGTTAGTGTACAACTGTGTGATTTCAGCTCTGATCTATTGGACTACGGAAACAGGATTCTGAACTTGGACTGGCAGGAACTTTATGCGAAAGAAACATGGAATTACAATGATTTTTGTCGCGGTGTGGAGATGGTTGCAAAAATTAACACGGATCTGATCGCACGGGGAGACTCGTGTAATAATATTCTCAAACTGGTGACCGACAAAGTGATTTTGAAGGACATCCGGGAGAATCTGAACAGAGAGCAAGCAATTGGAACGACACTGAGATCCAGCCTTGAAGGTAAGTGCCAAAGTGCTGCTTCTGCCCTTGGTTGTGATTTAAATTCTGAAAATGTTAAAAGTGCATGTAGAAATGTTTTAATCAATAATCTTTTCTCTATTGCAAATGACTTGAGTTCATGTAAAGATAATGCTATGTCTAATGGTTTAAATGATTGTAATCAGGCTGAGTTAACGAAACCTAGGCCAAAGCGCCCATCAAAAAAATTCTCTAAGCGCTCAATAAATGATGACAGGGACGCAGATGGTTTTATTCTTCCGAAGAACACTGCGCGCCCAAGCAAAATAATAAAATGTAATGCTGAATTGCCACTGGCAAATAAATTCGAAAAATTAAGCACACAGGATATAAATAGTAAACCTGATGATGAAATTGATGATGTAGTTATGGAAAACGTTGTTGTGAAAATTCCCAAACCCAAACCAATAATGGTAAAACCGGATATTAAGTTCAACGACTTTATGAAGGTGTTGCGTGATAATGTAAAATGTGAATTTGCGGGCAAGGTGCAGGGGGACTTCCTCAAAATCTTCCCGGAAACCGAAAATGATCATCGTACTATTACCAAGTTTCTTGATGACAGAAAGGTTGACCACTATATTATTCTCTCTAAGTTTGATAAGCCACTCAAAGTGGTTATAAGAGGGCTTCCAATTGATTGTGCTACGGAAGATATTCTTGAGGAATTAACTAAATTGGGTTATAAAGTACGTAAAGTTGCCCAAATGCACAGGATTAGGACAAGAGTCCCCATGCCCTTGTTCCAAATTCACGTTGAACGAACCCCGGAAATTGAAAAAATATATGATGTTACGAAATTCTTAAATTTTTATGTGAGTATCAAACCTTACAGAGTAAATGGGAGTGTTGTGCAATGTCATAATTGCCAGCACTTCCATCACTCATCTGACAACTGCAAGTTGAGACCCCGATGTGTAAAATGCGCTGGCACCCACAAAACTGAGGATTGTACAAGCAAATTTATTAACGATGTTAAATGTTGTAACTGTGGGCAGGCAGGACATCCTGCGAATTATCGCGGATGCCCTAAATTCCCAGCTCCTCAGGGTGCCAGAACGCAAAATAAGAAAGTATTACCCATTAAGGAAAGTTATGTCAAACCAGGAATTTCCTTTGCAAATGTTGTGAGCGGGAAAACTCCCCAGAGTACGGATGAGGTAATCAAAAATGAAAACATTGTACAAACTGCTACTAAAACCAATAAGCCAGTTAATAGGAATGATGTGGGCCTGTCTGGCCTTCTTGAGATATCTAAATTAATCAAAGACATTGTTAATATGTTCAATGGAATTTCTTTTGTAAATGTTCTACGCAAGATTACTAACAAAATGCCTGAACTACAGGCTACCCAAAATACTGTAGACAAATTATTTATACTTTTTGAATTATTTGAAGAGATTTTTGGTTCTGTAAATAATGTATAGTTTGAATACTGTGTTAAACATAATTACATGGAACGCAAATGGATTATCTCATAGAATTCATGAGCTAAGAGATTTTATAAATGAGTACACTCCTGATGTTATGTTCCTACAAGAACACAAGCTTGGCCCAGCCACTCCAATTTACGTACCAAATTATGTTGTTCATAGATCGAACAGAGCTCCGACAATCTCCCGCCCAAGAGGAGGTGGAACAGCACTCCTGATTAAACGCTGCATCCCACATCTTCCAGTCACAATACCGCAGCTTTCGGTCGTGGAGGCCTCTGCAATATCACTCACAACAAACACTTCCACAACATACATTCTTGTCTCCACTTACATTCCCCCAGGACGTCATGTTTCTGCAGTCCTGGCTGACTGCAAATATTACTTAGTCTTGGTCAACACATTATCCTAGGTGGAGACTTAAATGCACGACACCGCGCGTGGAACTGCTATAATTCAAACGACACTGGACGTGTAATTTTCAACTTAGCCCACTCGGCTGGATTACACATAGCAGCTCCGAAAACCCCAACACGGTACACCACTAGGTCCACCGGGATCCTTGACTTCTTCCTGCTCGGAAATACCAGTGTTCCACTGGATATTTCCGTGCTGGACGAATTGTCATCGGATCACAACCCGGTTAAGATGATTCTGGACATTAGTAGGTATACTACAGCAGACACAAGAGCCTTTAAAACAGACTGGCACATTTTGCCAAAGCTCTCAACAACATACACTATACACACCCTACGATACAGACTGGGAATGACATTGATAGTTTCATTCAGGAGCTCACGGAAAATATCAAAGATGCACATGAAAAAGCTAAAATAGAAATAACCAAAAGGAAGTATGCAAGAAGCAGAGATCTTCAGGCACTAATCAAACAAAGAAATGCTGCACGGAGGCTTTTTCAACGGACTAGATGCCGAGAAGATAAAAACCAGTTCAATCGCCTTGCCAATACAGTCAAGTCTCTCACACGCGAGCAAGCACAACAAAGCTGGACCAGCTACCTTAACTCACTTTCCACAGATGATAACTCTCTGTGGAAAGCTGTTTCTAGGTATACAAAATGCTACAATAAAATTCCGCCCCTTAAAGGCCCCACGAGGATTCATTACACCGAAACTGAGAAAGCAGAACTGTTAGCAAAGCAACTGGAATCTCAGTTTTGCACGAACAACATACATGATATTTCAACAGAACACATTGTTTACTCATTTCATAACAATATCACAACAAATACAAACATAAACAACATCCCTCCGGTTATGCCTTCGGAGGTTCTTGACTGTGTCAATAAACTCAAGAAGAGGAAGAGCCCTGGTTTGGATGGTGTCACAAACTCCATGTTAAAGAACCTGCCATTAAAGATCATATTCATCCTTGCAAAGATCTTCACCAGGATCATGCAACTGCAACACTTTCCCACAGGCGTGGAAAACGGCAAAGATTGTACCCATCCTTAAACCAGGGAAATCAGCATCTGATCCAACTGCCTACCGACCGATCAGTCTGCTCTCCTCCATGAGCAAGATATATGAAGCCATGCTACTCACCAGGATCAATGATCACTTGGAGCAAAACAACATCCTAATCCCAAGCCAATTCGGTTTCCGGAAAGGCTTGGGAACCACCAACCAGCTCTACAGGGTGGTAGAGCTTATTTCTGATGGCCTACACAAGAGGAGAGTAACTGGCGGTCTGTTTATTGACATAGCCAAGGCCTTTGATCGGGTCTGGCTGGAGGCACTAGTTTACAAAATACACAATCTGGGTTTCCCAGATTACATCACAAACATCACTAAATCCTACCTAACAGGTAGAAACTTTGTCGTTCACGTCTCAGGAACAAATTCTAATCTACACCCCATAAGGGCAGGGGTCCCTCAGGGGTCCCTTTTAGGGCCCACCTACTTTAATATTTACGTGAACGACATCCCTACAACACAGGACACAACACTGGCTATGTATGCTGATGACACAGCAATCCTCACACAAAGTGCATTTGCTGGTTCAGCTATCCAACATCTACAAAATTACATACATGCACTGGAGACTTGGCTCACACAATGGAAAATAAAAGTAAACATCGATAAAACGCAAGCCATCCTGTTTACCAGGAAAAATAAATTCAAAAAAAACCTAGTTATGTACGGCAGTTCTATCCCCTGGGCCCAGCAAGTCCCTTATCTTGGGGTGATCCTCAGTAAAACTCTGTCATGGAATCCACACATCACAAATATTATTAATAAGTTTCGAGCCCGTAAAGCTCAACTCTTCCCCTTAATTGCTCGAAACAGTGTTTTGTCTATAGATAACAAGTTACTCATTTATAAATCCATATTGCGTCCATTACTATGCTATGCATGTCCTGTATGGGCGTACTCATGTAACAGGTATCGGGGCAAATTACAAACTGCCCAAAATTGCACTCTTAGACAAATAGCCAACGCACCCTGGTACGTGCGAAATAAAAAAATTCATGAAGAACTGGGCGTTCGCCCTCTTAAATCTGTCTATTACAAAATTGCAAAAAGATTTCATAGCAGGCAGCTCGAAATTCAAAACCCTGCCATTAAGATACCTGAGTACGACCCATACAATCTGGACAACAAATACAGGCCCTTGGCCATATTAAATGAATGGATTATGTAATGGCATAGCATAGTAATGTATTTCTGCTTTATATAATTTTATCTTTTTTCGCAACACCTTCCTTATGTATATTTATTTAATTATTGTTGTCGCATTCTTATTTATGTATGTATATATGTATATATTTATTTACCAAGGGCTGGTATCACTTTGGGCACTGCCTTGTGTTTAACATCTTTACTTCCAGGTTTTTTCACCACTCGACAGCTTTCTGGCCTTCTAGTCCTTTACAGCAATTGATAAGGCAACCTGTAATACAGGAAATAGGATTTTAGTTGTTAATATACAAAAAACCCTAAAATAGACCAAAAAAATCAAAAAATTCAAAATATTAAAAAGTATAAAATATTAAAAAAAAAAAAAAAAAAAATTAGACTAATCTGTAAAAAATTAATGAAAAAGCAACAAATCGAAAAGTCTAAATCATATTCTACAAGGGGTAGGGCCTTCGGCCCAGGTACCCTGGTGTACCAAGGCACCGTTCCACTGGGTTGCAGAACATTCTTGAGAACCTGCAAAGCTGCGTGTTCTCGATCCCGCTTTATCTCAAGACAATCTAATGTGAGAACTGTGGCAAGGCTTCTTTCCACGGCTCATTCCGTAAAAAGAAAAACTTTTTTTTTTTTTGTACTTTTGCTACATCCCAGATTTATTAGGAATATGGTCCCGTGATTGGACAAAAATATTCCTGGCGATAATCTCAGTGGAAATGCGTAGTGGTTTCCAGCCTTATGAGGTTTGAAATAATTTATTTATACAAATGCCAGACATTTGGCCACTAAGCCTAATTATTTGAATTGGCCTGAGTCCGTTAGTATCTGTACTGATGAAGTCTGGCTGCTATGGAGAATTAGAGGCACTTATTCAAAGCAAATCACCAAATGCACAGTTAATTTATTTCTACTGGCCGTTCTACTAGGGCGATTCACGAAATTTGCGTTTTTCATGTCTCGAAAGCGCAACTTAGGATATGTATTAGATTTATATATAGCATTTCTCTAATATAGGTATCTTGACACAAAATCGGACCTTGTTCTAAAATGACACGCTAATTGTTTTACATATTTCGATTCTAGGACTCAAATCATGCTAAAGTGCTAAGTTTTGTAAAATTCGCACGAGTAGATTTTAAAAAATTAGCTCTCAAAGTCCTAGCTCCTATATGTTGATTGAATTCGGTATATATTTCTTAATTTCTCTTTTTTATTACACTTATTTAATTCTTCCTTCCAAATTTATTATTTATTTTTAAATAATTGTTATAAATTTTTCGAAAAACAATTTGAATTATAATCTATAAGATTTTTATCATCATCTTAAAGTAGATATATTTCTAAGCATATCTGCAAAAAATTAAAGATTTTATTCAAAATTTCCTAAGATATACGTAACTTAACATTTTGGCGCGTTTAGAAATTTGGCGTATAAGCGATAGTAACGAAAATGTGGTTTACGCATTTTGTTAAAATTATTAGAAAGTATAAACGATTACTTTTTTTCTCGCTCGTGCACAAAGAAAAAAGGCAAACGAAAATAGGTTGCTATAAATTAAAAATTTCGCCAAGTGGACTATTGTTTTCGTTTTGGCATTTTGTGTCGAATCACTTTTAATGGCGTACCACTTTTCAAATTGTTGCCACCAAATGTTGCAGCCCTGCATTATTTTTAAAGAAATTAAATAATGGAGAATCTGTGTAAATGTATGTATAATGTATGTGTAAATGTATGTACATTGTGATTAAACCTACAGCCAACCAATTTTGAATGACGTAATCTTACTGCGAATATGGACATCTGAAAGCCCAAATTTGAAATATGGAATTTGTTTTATTATCGATATCCTATTTTGCAAAATTTTAACGAATTTTTGATTAACAAACTCAACGATTTAACAGCTAGCAATGGCAGCACTCTGCGGTGGAGGATGAGAAAAAAAAAAAAAAAAAAAAAAAAAAAAAAAAAATTTTTATCTCCAGCGCGCGGAACTGTGTATCGAAAATTCTAAAGATATGCACATTTTAAAAGTATTTTGCGACACTGCTGTTGAACTGAGTTTTACGCTTTAAGTGCAAAGAACATGATATTTAATAAATAATGGTAACACACAAAACTTTAAAGAAACTCCCCTTTGGACATCATTTAAAAATCTGAAACATTTCAGATTTTTTCCCCCCCGCAGTGTAGCTTTGAACTGCAGCAAGAAATTTTAAGAATACAAAGATACAGAAGATTTTACTTGACGCCATTTTTTTTAATAAAACTAGCATATTTATGCGACATATTTGAAAAGCTGAATCCCTTTAATCACCTTTTGAAGTCAACGGAAAAATTGTAAGCTAAAAAAAAATTAAATTAATAAAAATAAATAAAAAAAAACCCACTCAAACTATGCGGAAGAAACTGAATGAAAATGTAGGCAAATATGATTTTTAAAATTATAGCAATTTTTGGTATTAAATGAGTTTGATCTTTCTCTAGATATGAAAACCATGTTTAAAGGGCACTTTTCACAGTTATTTAACACAGCTATTATTTAGTCTTAGAAATACTTTAAAATTGAAAATTTCGATAGATTTGCATGGATTTAAGATCCATTTAACACTAGTCTCCGTCTGAATTTACTTCTGCGGAAGAAAAGAATGTTATCGATTTATCTTGAGACAACAATTTGGAAGAACATTTGGCAGCATGAATATGTAAGATCTAGTTGGTCTATTTATCCTGCAACTTCTTGCAAAGACTCGAAGGCGAATACAGGAAGGGAAGGGTGTAAAAGAAAGACCATGTTTCTCAACACACTAACTTACAGACGGCACAGACTTACGTACTTACACAGACATCAAGTACTTGTGGTGATGAACTTAAAAGTTAATCTAACCTAACCTTGAAACAATAAGCCGTACCGCCAAACTGGCACACCGGCAACGTAAAACAAGCCAAGCAAAGATAAAAGACTGGAAACTAAACTAATAAGGACAACTCGTCCTTCCACTCCCCGCCCGAGGAAAATGTGTCAGTCTCGCCAACAGGGTCGCCTCGACTTTTATTCAGAATAATACATGCAAACAAAAGAAAAAAATATTTACAAATCATAACATAAACAGTGAAATTCCATTACAGATAACAAGCATCATCACCATATGGGGCATTCATTGTACAATTCATTAACCAAATTCCATTAAATAGAGTGATATAATAGTTTTATTTTGACAAATTTATTTAGACATATTAAACGAGATAATTTCTCATTTTCTGTTTTTGCTTAAGGTTACTTAACAAGTTAAATCAAATATAGCTTCACGATATATTGTGTTAATAATAAGGTAAATCATATTTACTAACATATTATGTAAAAAATGATACGGCTAATCTTTAGAATATGGTAACAGATAGTTTGGCGACATTTTGGTAAGGCGATAAAGGTTACTAGCTAGGACTTTAGCAATAATCTGAGAAGTACACAGTTCGAATCATAGATTTATTTTGTCTCAGAGAAATGAGAGATCATGAGACATGTAATGTGACATTTTCCGAAAAATTCCGATCGTGATTTTAGCTAATAAGTACTTAGAAACAATTTCGCTGCTAAAGTGCAGAATCGTCCACTTATTTGTTTGGCGCTTTTAACAAGAGTAAGAAAGAATTGGATTTTTGTCAATTTTCTTTGACCTTTTTTAAGTGAAAATAGGTCGATGTGTACATGGATAAAGTCAAGAGTGTGCGCAGTGCCATTTTTGGGCAATTCTGGGATGTTTTTTTAAGTGAAAATAGGTCGACGTGTACATGGATACCGTGTATGTGCAATTCTTAAAAACGTGGCAAGCAGTTTGCGATTCTGCACTTTCTCCCAATTTCGCACCTAATCTTCGTCATGATTAAGCATTTTTGTTCCATAAAAGTTGTAGTATAAGCGTAATTCGGCTAGCAGATTATTGGAAAGAATGTCGAGGGAAAAAAAAAAAAAAAAAAGCCTTTACTCTGTGAAAACAAAATGGCGTCCAAAACAAAACTAGCAGGTTGCTGTAGCAGGGTTGGTTGCCAAATCTTCGCCAAAAACTCGCCAAGTTACCATAATGTAAAGATTCACCAATGATACTTATAGAGTTTTTATGTCTATAAAAAGCTCGTTCTGTATTACAAAAATAATCTAGTCCATACATACATATTAAACTTATTAAATAATTCTGCAAAATAATCAATCTTTAATTAACAACGAACCGTCCTAGCTTCTATACATAATTCAAATAGATCTTTGCTTACATAACAATGCCTACTGATCTCCTAGAATAAAATATTGTTGATTTTTTTTTCTTCTGACACCAGTTGTTACGTTATTTTCTTCCTTCACGTTCGTACGGGGTTCGTGTGGATTTGGAGTGAATAACGACGACACTACTTGATGAAGTATCGAAACACACTTTATTGTCCAATATTGTCAGGACAGCTCCAAAACACGTTTACAGTCGTCGATGAACTACTATAAACACACTGACACGATCAGCGACACAGCCTCCAGGTTATCAGGCTATCACGGTGAAGACAGCTTCACGGCAAAGTACTAGAGTACAGCTCCCGACTCTGCTTGGTCGTTCTGGCAACTCTACGTACTCTCCACACTACAACTTGCGATGCACTCGACGACACACAGAGCACAGCTCCCGACTCTTCGGTTCAGTCGTTCCCAGAGCTCTACACGCTCTCTCGACGATGCACTAACCGCGCTCAACTACGAGACTCTTTCGATGCACTCGACGACCCACTCGGCACTCGCTGCCCGGCTGTCAACTCGATCGACTCCGCATGGATTGACTCGCTAGACGAGACACCAACTCGATACTAATTAACCCTCCGCGTGCGAGCAGGGTTTTATATAGCTTTTGGCTGGTGTTCGGGAACATTCTGGGCTAAACCGGTAAGAATTCATTCCGGAAGATTCTCCATCCGTCCATGGCATATCGCCAATTTTGTCGCCAAATGTGGCAACCCTGCCTTCCTTGCTATTTTATGGCAACCCTAAAACTGCTTTGCGTGGAAGCCATCTTATCGCGCCTGTACATTTCGTAACACTATTCATACCGATTTAACTTCATAATGATTTTAGTAATACTCAATCTGGCTTCTTCAGTTATATATATAGGAACTTTCCATTAGCCTTCGCAATGATCCCATATTTCGTTCTAATAGGTTCTGTGAGTGGACAGCCCCATATATAATGCGCGAAGTGCCAAAGAGAGAAATTATTTGCTTTTTATGAAATCTAAAATAATACTTAGGAAAGCGATCGTGTACCGTTAATAATTCATTAATCAATCTACTGCAACATAGTCTTTTCATATTAACCTTTGGAAGAACCCTATATACATTCCTTCCAGTCAGGTCACAATCCCACTTTCCTGCCACCTTTGTTAAACTTGATCTTGTAAAGTTGTTTTAATTGAATCTATAGATGACGTAACTTAAAAGGTAAGATAACAACTAAATTTAAAAGTAATTAGTGTTAAACTACACAATTCAATTTAAGCTAACAGGTTGACTCAGAACCAACACCGGCAGAATAATAACTCAGCGTCAAGAATGCTTAACCGATATTAAGGTTAAAAGCTAGAAGAAAATAGCAGTGTACGTTCCCAACAGCGCTGACGAAACAAATCACGCGCTGACGAAACATTTCGGTCCAACAGTTTAAATACTCTCGGTCACACTAATTCATAATCATCCTGGTGAGGTAACGCAAAGGAAATGAAAGGACTTAGGAAAGTCTCACAAATTAAAATAACTATTAATAAAAATAAATAAAACCCTACAAATAAAACGTAAATATGTAAATATAATATTCTAAGCGATAAGGCTCAGCGGATTTTTATTCCATTTTTGACGTCATATTTGTGCGAAGCTGGGTTTTCGGCGGTCGCTGGAATAAAAAGCAAGCATACAGCAAAAATCAAAGTAGAAAAGGAAATGAGGGTGGACGCATCCAGCTAAATTCCACGATTTGAGAAAATCTGCAGTGATTTGCAGTCTCATCTACCACATTCATTATTATTTAATATCTATAAAGTTAAAAATGAAGAAATATTAGTTTTATTTATTTTTACCTCTTACTTACGACTAGTCATACTTTTACTTCGGGTAGGGCGCCACGGAAAAATTTTACTTGAAAAAAGGTGCCACGACTCGGAAAAGTTTGGGAACCACTGGTATAAAGCATGCATTAAATATTTATGGTGATTATGAAAAAGGCTAATATGGTTCAATATAATATTTATAAACCAACCAATAAGTCATGCATCTTGTCTCAGGAAAATTCCTGTAGTTTAATTAAATCATTCACACTTTACTCACCTGAACTTCTGTGAGATAACTGTCCCTGCGCGAATACTTTCTTGCATATATCCTTGATTTGCTTTCTCACATTGTACCTAAAACACATTTATAGTTAATATGTCTATAAATGCTTATATGGTATACAAATATATCGAGCATGATTCAAAACGATTGCGCAATTAAATACAGTGTTCTGTAAATTTGGGCCTATCTGAAATGTCATATAAAATTAACAATATGTTGTATGAGAGTGCGTTTTGCATCTAAGGCTTACAGTCAAAGAGGATTCCGTTTGGCAGTCAATGCATTTTGGTTCATATTTTCACTGCTAGATCTTTCTGTTCATTTAATATCACGAAAATGGACAAGACATAAGCACAGTAAAATTTGTGCCAACTTTCAATGCGTTTAATTTTGAAAGAGAAATCACACATATTTATCAAAAGCTACTGAAATATGCTGTACGCAAAATTTCGAAAATAAGTGTACTTATGGTTAGGTTAACTTATTTGAATATGGCATGGCACACCCGAAAAGATGGATGCTTTCGTGAAGGAATTTACAAGGGAAATTGCTGATATTCACGATAATGAAGATACACGAGTTTTATTTATTTTTAAAATTATATGTTTTATTTAAATACGGGTACGTTTATTTAGTTTAAGATACGCTTTATTTAGTTTATAACCATAGCGGAACAACCACGGATAGAAACCATGTAACAAGCCCTTTCGCCCGAGATCAAACGCTTGTTGAACCAACATTCAGCGATTTTAACTACTCGGCCACGGGTAGGGTTGGTTTAAGTTTAAAGGCGTCTGTAACACTACAACGGTCAAACTCACCGTTTTATTACTGCATTATTGAAAGCTTATAAAACTAATTTAGTTTTTGTAAACAGCCTTCATAATAATAACAAACACCTTTTCAAACAGTTGGAAATTAGTTTAATAGGAATTTTGCACAGAATCGTAATTTTTGCAATTCCGATGTACGAAGGCAAAGTAATGGGACGCCCTGATGCTGATAATGCGCTACAGGCCCACCTTCTTCCGTATCTTCAAAGCATCCTAAACTGCTCTTTTTTGACAAGATAATGCCCAGCCCTACATTGCTGAGATTTTCTTAATGTCATTACAAAATGCTCCCATGGCCGAACGATTACTCGATCATTACCCAATCGAGCATCTGTGAGACATGCTTGGGCGGCGGTTGAATTCCTCCACTTTTTTATGAAACGAAGACGAGCAGCGGGGTAACATCAACAAAGACGTGGCGAACGATAACCATAGGGTATAATTCTGGTTTGGTGTCCTTTTATTTAGCCGAAAGGCAAAATCGTGTAGTTGAGCCAAAATTTCTTTCTCCTCCCCACACAGAAGGGGAAACGAAGTAAGTTGCAAATAAATAAATGCTCTCCACTTATAGCCAAGACCTTGTAACTTTGCTCGCATTGATTCGAACTTTAATTACCTCAAATTTGGCGACCGGTTGCCAAAATTAGCATATAAATTAATAGCATTAACTTATACAGAGCAGACTTCTTACGTTTTCTCCGTTCGATCGTATTTCAAACGAAATTACTCAGCATACATTATAATTTATTTAGATTAGGTTAGTTAGTTAGTTCTAAGCACTGGCCCCCAGTCTACCTAGCAGGCGAAAACTGCCATATGGCAGGTATATTAGGTATATTTTTAAAGTAGGAGAGATCAAAAATGAGCAATGCCCTGGCCGGGACTCGAAACACGGACCTCTCGAATACGCGCCGAGCGTGCTGACCACTACACCACAAATGCATGCTGAGAAGGCGGGAGAAATACCTTATATTATTTTTTTTAAAATTCAGACAAACTAAGTTAAGGAAAACTAAAATGCGTGAATTTATTAATAATTAATTTCCTTAATAAGTATTAAAAGTAATTTGTTTAATCAACTAGCTTTATATTTATTTAAAAAAGCACATTATTTAAGACATTGGTAAAGCTTTGAAATTTTATTCTTGGAATACGGTACTTTCATTTTAATTTACGATTATTAAATTAAATTAAATTTCATAGCAGAAAATATAAAAATTGATTCATTGAAATGTGTTATGAATTTTATTATTATTTAAAAATGAAATGAAGGAACAAGCGTAACATGTATGGCAAATGGCCAATTTCTGATTTTTTAGTTCAATCTCATATTTGATATTTTATCGTTAGGCTTACAAATTGTAATCAACATTAATGAATAGTTAAAGCTTTAAAGACATTGTAAGCAGTTTAAAAAAAGAAAGATTTATAAAAGTGAACTTTGGGAGATTTATTCTAACCCGTTTATCTCCAGAAAAGGAAATTATGTATTAAAATGCTAGTATACCAAAAAAAAAAAAAAAAAAAAAAAAAAAAAAAAAGAAAGAAGAGAGGAGGGGAAAGCGAATTAATTAATGCAAAGCATTCTAATAAAATGAGAAAGCCACTTTAAAGAAAAAAGAGCAGAAAAGTTAATAAAAATATGTTTCTAAGGCATCTTTCTGAACTTGTATTACTCTGGTTAGAATTTAAGATGGGTCTACATGTCGTCTGACCATCTTTACGGTTTCAGGAGTTAACATTTCCTTTCGGTAATTCAATATTTTAAATAAAGACTTATTATTCATTTTGGAATCATACTTAATTTCTCTTGATCGCACTTCAGTATTTCATTTAAAAGCTTGTTTTCATAGCTACATAAAATGTGACCTTCAGTATTGAAAATTTTCCACGTTCAAGCATCATCACAAACGACTGACATTCACTTTCAAATTATAATTCATATTTTTATTACTCTGTTATCATATATTTCTATATTTAAAATTTAATATATCGTAAAATAATTTCCGGTTTCGTCCTTTAGAGTTTCATCCTTATGTTCAAAAGTGTAGCGCGTCATCCGCTGCTATCCCCTCTGTCCGTACTGAAAATTAATAAACTCTACTGGATGAAAATCTTCCAAGAAGACATCCCTCCTCTTAGGCAGAGTACCCTTGAATACTTTACCACAATCAAAATAAACTAAACCACAGCAAAGTTTAGAAGCGAGCTGAAATTCATAATTTAAAGTGTGAGTGAATTATTTCAAAGCAGGATACATGCAGTATAATAGCTAAAAATTTCAGGCTCGTTAACAACATTAATGATTGTTGTTCATTTTTTCAAAGTAAGTTCCACAAAAGAAAGGAATTGGGAAATAAATAAATAATAGAATTACAGAGCAGCAAAATACCCGTTCAATGTTGCTATGAATATACATTCGTACGCATATATTTAATTGTTGGTATCAATATCTGTTATTTTAAAATATGAGCCTTAAAACATCAGAACTATTATTTACGATTATTAAATAAAATTAAATTTCATTTAAAGCTTAGAAAATATTTCTGATTACTAAAATGCCGGTAAACCAGCTACCGGTATTACCATAGAAAGCTGGTAATACCGGTTTACCATACCGGTATTACCAGCTTTCTATGGTACGTAGATGACTGAAAAACGTTTCGCCTCATACTAGAAATCATACTTAGTGTAGCACAGTATGACAGAATATACTCATCACAAAACACTTGAAACATTACGGTCGTTATTAATTTTGCATTTTATTGATTATAGGATGCAGATATAACTTTTTTTGATTTATTAAAGTGGTGCAGAAAAATATTAAAAAATATATTGTACGGATCTAACCCTGCATTCATAACAAATTTATTCATAACAATTTAATTTATACTTCAACACTTTTCATTTTGATGCTTTTGAATTTAATATAATTTTTTGCTTTAAGAGAAGGAGTATTATTTTACTGATATTTAACTTTTTTTTTTTTTTTTTTTTTTGCTCAAGTAACTTTTGCCTTAAAGGTATTTTACTTCATACAGTAAAAGTAGACAGACTTACGTTCGCTGCACTTATCCAGAAAAGCTGATTCTGCGTATAATGATTCAGTGCCAAGGGCTTTAACTCAGTTTGGTGTTCCGCTACCCATGCTCTATAGGCCTGTGGTTAAAAAAATAGAAAAAGAAGAAGGAAATATAATGTACATAAATATGATTTGAAATCAAAAATCGTAACTTTAAAGAATATATAATAACGGAATGTGTGAGAAATTTCCGCATTTCCACACACCTGCATCCCGGCGAGTACACAGACTGAAATAAATCTATAAATGTTCAAGTCCTAATCACAGTATTTATCTGTACATAATATAGGAATTTTATTTTTAATGCTTTTAGCATTACCACACAATTTTCCCTAAAAAAAAAATTGATTTAGCTAAATAATGAACTGAGATGCTTTAAAATTACTCCTAATTGAGATTTGATGCCATGTTATGCTCATCTGAATGTATATTCCAGCAGTCATTTTGCTAATTGATAATCAAGTTTATTCATTTTCTCACGGTACCGTCGGGTGTGATAATTTGGAAAAGAGAACCTTGAGAGAAATGTTATTAAACAACCGGTATTTTTAATCAAATTATTTTTTGTTCTTTCTGTTTTTCCACTGGCTTTCACCCAATGCAAAATTAAGATGGGATTACCTGAGGCTGGTGATAGATTTTAAATAGGCTGCATTATGTTTATCCAGCAATCAATAAACCTTTGCTGTTATAGTGTTGAAGAGTGGTTGATTACTTTTAAGAACATACAGTAAACTGATAAGAAATGCCGCTGTGATCAGTACAGTGGTTAGACCGCTGGTTGCCTTATCGTTAGGGACGGTTCAAATCCTAGAAAGGGCTTAAAATAATGGTGAGCTGAAAGCCCTTTCTCGAGTTTTGGTGATTAGCGGAAGAGGGGTGAGAGATCATGGGATCCGTTCCTTGGGTTTTCTCCTTCAAAATTGGAAATGAGCTTTCCGTTTCTTACAGGTATAACGCTATTTGTAATAATTTCCGACAACTGCGTTAGGTTGCAAGTATCTAGCCGTTGGCACAATAACATCTAATAAGAATTAGCTGTTTAGGACAAAAGATCAGATAAAAGCGAATCATGTCCGACGCATTGATAGAAGATGTTTCAAATAAGACTGAGCGCAGACATTTTTTGAGCTATTTCTTGCACCTTTAATATTCCTGACGATCCTGCCTCTATCAAATTCCGACACTTGCTGGTAAGCATTTCCTCTTTTTATTCGAGGCATAACGTGGTATTCTGAGCAAATTCCAACCTTACAAAGCGCTTTCCGAATGAAAAATCCACTGCACAGCTTTTCTTTTATGCAGTACTTCAGATGTCGTTTCTCCCTCTTGGTGTCGTTTAAATGCGCTGCAATTCCTTTCATGTGATTTTGACGTTTGTCGGATCATTCCTTCCTGGTATTGCAATTTTAATGGCCAGCAGTGTAGAATTTCTGCTTTTGAGGACGACTATACTCATTACAGCAGTGTTTACGTGTTTTAGGAAGTAAGAAAATCGCACCTTGCAGTCGGCAAATTCAAGGGTTTATTCTAATTTTTGCATTTTTTGAATTTTGCCGCTGCACAGCGTTAGTTACAATAAGCTCTAAGGATATTTTTTAAATAAATATGATCTGGCAAGCACTGTCATTTCACTAGTTATAAAATTTTAAATTTTCCACACCCAAGATCTGAAAAACTGCTAATTCTCAGAAGTGCTACTAGTATGATTGGTTTGAAATATTTGCTACTGGTGGTTGAAAGTATCGTCTTATAAGCGCTGTTCGACCCGACACAAACCTAGGGGAGAAAATTCGCTAAATACTGGTAGTTCGACTGGTATTTATATCCTGAAGAACGGGTTGCCTGTTTCAGTGTTGCTGTAGCTTTCTCCATGAATAATGTGAGTACCTACTTTCCAGAGTTCATCCATCGAGGTGGGTTTGCTCTTAGACAGAGCTCTTATCAAGAGACCAAAGGTACGTCAATCGACAGGCGAAATGTCAGGGAACTTCACAGTAATGCGTTGAAAAAGTATGTGAGTAGTACCTACACCGTCCTTCATTATTTCAAAAAACGTTGTGATGCTTCTTGCTTTATCTTGATGAAGTTTCACTCTTTAAAAATCATTTGGGTAAAGGAATGGAATTTCTTCCGTAAATATCGGACATACAACTCTCTCTTGAAATTACATTGAGTTGATTTGAAGATCTTTCTCCACTCTTCTTATTTTGAATAGTTTTATTCAAATTGTAAGCGAATCCTGCATCAATAATTAAACCCTTACTGAAACTTTCTTTGTATTGAATGGGAAAAGATTTGTACACTTTCCTTTACTTTTCGTCGTTTCGATAGTAAGCATAGTAAACAGATCAATATTTTTAAATAGTAGACTTACGTTTTTCTATCGTGATCTGGATTAGCAAACATTATGACGCTTTTTCGGGCTATGGAAACACTTGGAATTTCGAAACTACAAAATATAGGGACTTCTTTGCGTTTCATTTGACAGACGAAGGTAAACAAAATACAAAAAGAAGGCTAGAGAATACAAAAAAGAATTTTGAAATTTGAAATAAGGGTTTAGCCACAGCTGAGTTACAAAGTTAGCAAAAATCACCGGAATTTTGATGGTGCATCCTCACTCAGGCGCATTTTCGGGAGATATTGTCACAGAAATTATATTTATTGTTTCTGCTGATGTTCATTTAGATAAGCCCATGTTTTATCAAGGATTACAATGTATTTCCATTTATCTCATGCTAAATAGTTTTCATAAAGTGTTCCACATGCCGCTACAGAATCTGGCGAACATTATGTTTTTTAAGCTTTTTAATTTGTAAATTTTGATTTATTATTTTATTTATTGCTGATGCTGATGTTGATTTCTCTGTTGGCAGAATTTTTTTTTTTTTTGTTTTTTTTTTTGTTAACAATGATTTCATTTGAAAAACATTAGAAACAATAAGTGCGTTTTTTTTTTAATGTACGGTTCGAGATTTCTTTCTATCTAAAACTAATGATTAACGGTTTTTCCTTTTCCGATTAATAATTTTGCTTACTCTGAACTTAGAAACTTTAATACCATTTATTTCACAACGTTTTTGAGTTATAAAATAGGAATATTTCTCTTCGGAAGGTATAAAAACATGTCTTTCAATCCACAGTTTTTTATATGATATATTTTGAAAGATGAATAAATTTAAAAGCAGCAGACTATATTTCTCATTTCAAATAATAAGCTTTTGCCAGAAATTTTCATTCTAAAACATTCGCGATAATTTAAGCGATTTGTTCAATTTCTTTCAATTTTTATTTATTATTATTAACTAAGTTTAATTCAATAATTTAATATAAATTTTAATTTTAATTAATTAATTAAATATAATGCATTACCATTTTTGTAACTGTTTTTCAAGTGCAGATGATTTTCAATTGTTGCAAACCTTAAATTTCTGAACGTTCTCACTTTTCCGCAAGAATATCAGGAAAAAGTTCCATACTTAAAATATTTAAGGGAAAACGGAAATACACTTGGCATAAGCTACTCTAATATTCCTGAATGAGAACTTTGAACTGAATAGAATTACTGAATAACATTCCTAATACGAAAGGTAACAAAATCTTCTACTACTACCAGATTGCGGTACTTCAAAAAATAATTTTAGATTTTATATTACGCCCAAAGGGGCTTTTTTTTAACGTTCTGTGTGTTACCTTTATTTATTAAATATCATGTTCTTCGCACTTAAACAGTACAGTGATGCCATCTCTCGCTTTGAAATCGTTGAGTTTAAGTTTTGCAAAATATGAAATAAATAATAAAACAAATTCAAAATTAGGGCTTCCAGATGCCCATATTCGGTGGAGGATTACGTTATTCAAAATTCGGTGGCTCACCGTTGTTTTACAACACAATGCGAGAAACATACATACATCCATGCAGATTCTTCTGGGCTAACGCCCTTTAGGCTAATAAATAAAAATAAAGAAATTCATAATCTAGACTCCATAACATTTTTACTGTAAAAAATGTTAGCTTGTAGGGTTTATATTTATTTTAACTAACATTTATTAAGTTTAAACTATCTTTCCTTCAAGCCTGCTTTCCCCTGGAACTGCAATGCCAGAGAGTAAAATTTTTAGTGAAAGCGCAAGGATTAAATTTCAGCGGAAGTATTCTGAGTTAAATAGAAAGGAAACGAGTTCGAAGGGTGCTTTCTACTTCACGAGCGCGGAGGTAGTAGTCAAAAGTTGAAGAACCACGCGTTTCGGCGTGTGCTTGCCTAGGCAAATGTTAATCTTTCAACGTAATATTCAGAGTTTGCTGAAAGTATCAGCGGTTAGTGTAAACGCGGTGAGGTTAGTTAAGTTTAGAGAGCCCGTAGTTAGTCTCTTGTTATTATCTCTTTCAGTTTCTATTTTATTTACCGCCGGGTCGGCGTAGTTGTGAGCGCAAGAGCACGCCTTTGTACTTTCTAAAGTTAATAAAAAGGGACTAAACCCTTCTCAAGACTTGTCTAATTTCAGTTTCAGCAGGCACCACTTTGTGCGTGCAGGTGGAGGCGCGCAATTTACATTGGCGCCCCGAACATCGTCGAACTGAAAGGGCCGAAAATCGGACGGAAGCCGCGGGACAACAACAAGAAATGGCAAGCCATTTGGAAGGATTGGATTACCTGGTCCAGACGTTAGAGCGTAAATCAAGCCAAACGTCATTTCGACGAAAAAAAATCGTTGGCAATGTTTCTAGAAAGCCTAGACAATCACTTTCAGCTTTACCCTGTGCCAAACAAAAAGTTGCCATCGCCACATCTGCACTGAGAGGACAGCCGCGCTATGGTGAAGAATATAGGCAAATTTTTAGGGGAATTTGGAGGCCAGACATATACATTTGAAAATTTCAAAAAAATCGTTATAAAGGCCTCCCCATAGTGAAAGATCGAGCAAGGCTAGAAGCGAACTATATAGTTTCTATCAACGGGCTATAGAAGAGTTAACGGACTTTATTCTGCGAAAAAATTAAATTGAAGGATATGCTGTATGGGAAGAAACCCAACGCGGAGATTATTGAAATCATCTTAAAAAGATTGCTACC